ATGAAAGGGCCCAGTTTTAAATAATCCACATCATCCAGGCTCAAAGGGAAATGGTGATGTGTTGGTGAACACTAGCCAACTTGAGGGATAAAGAGGAAAATGTTAAGGAAAAATCCAGTGTGACAACTGGCGATGTTGGTAGAAACCAGTTCTATATTCATCATGTGCAAATGGTGTGCTGCATATTCAAATCCAAAAGCCAGTGTAACCATCTATTTTTATCATTTTGCAGTTGGCAGTCCCTATGAAGCACATGCCAACCCAGCCACGCTGACAGAAAGTGCAGAGATATAGAGTAACCTCTTCCTGAGTACGTCACTGAAAACACACCCGCTGTGGAGCATCTATATCACTGCAAAGCATGAAGGCGAAATATTAAGAGACCCAAAAGCACATGGGTCCAACAGTCCCATCAGCCATGCTTAGTGCTAGCACCAGGGAGCAGAGGGGAACAAGTTTGTTGTGTAGGACAGTTTTCACCACACTTGCTGATGTTTGTTGGAGAGCCTTAGCACAGGCCCCAACCTCCCTGCACCGCAGCTGAGGAGTACAACAGGCTTAGAGAAGGATAGGAAATACTTGATCTAGCTCAGTCTCTTGAGCACAGCTCAGGCACCTGGGCTCACCCACTGTGACCTTGGACAAACCATTTAATCTCTGTTTTCATCTTCTCTATCTGCAGAGAAAGACCACTAACAAACACTCGAAGAGGATTTCTAAGGATTAAGTAGTTATCATTTGCTAAAAGGTTGGAAGATGGCAAGTACTGAGTGGTAGTATTATCCATACAATAGTGACCCTTTTTTCATTTTCCTATCAGTAGATTTACAGTTACAGGCCATTTGCACTACGTTTTATACTCCTCATTGTGTCACAAACTGACAAAATAAAGAGAGAATGAGGCAGGGACCTTAACTGCATCCCTGAGAAATGAGTGGTTTATTACTAATAAGCTCAGGAAAACTCACCGGACAGAATTTTTGAACAAATGAACAGCTCCTCCATCATAGTTGCATGACCCAATACGGGAAATCTCTTTCCCATGGTCATGTTGGATCCAGTAGACCCTTGTGTCAACCAAATCTAATGAGATGGCCTTTATTTTTTCTGTGGTTCTTAAAATATTTCTCACATCACTCCCACTGAGGGACACTCGGTGTATGCTGGAAACTGTACCATCTGAAGACCAAAATAATAGCCTACAGGAAAGAGAGACATGTTTTGAAAAAAAAACAACCCATAACAAAAAAACCCACACCAACAACCTGTATTTGCAAGATCACATCACTGCTGCACACTCCTTGTTAAGTTAGTCCTGCACACAGAATTTTTCAGTCTTATTACAGTGCTTTCAGAGCCAAAACTAATAATAAAGCAAAAGGGACTTCCTTAATAAATACTCAACTATATAGCCTTATTAAGAATGAAAATATTTTTTGACAGCAAAGCATTTCCGCTTAACAGAAGCAATGTTAACACCAAAGTTTTGTAGCAATTGTTTTCTTATAAATATGCTTCTGTCAGAGACTGTATGCTCCATTCAGGAAGCAATGAGATATTAGAAATTTCTCTCCTGTAGGTCAAGCAGAAATCAGCCCAGCTTAACCATGAAGCACTATTGTCTGTCCCTCTGCTTTGTTCAGCCATGCAGTCAGCAAAGGAAACCAGAATAACCTCTCAAATCTATGGGGACCTCCTGCAAACTTAGGGGAAGGCACGTCTTTGAGGCAGATCTGCATTGCCTCTTCCTCTGGGGAGGAATCTATCTCCTGAAACCCTAGTTGAACACATTGCTGAAGTGTTCATCTTAAAAATACCATTTCTATTATTGTTCTCATTTCTTTCTACCTTCCTGTTGGTTACAGCAGCCAGACTGTGTTGTTATTAAATTAAGACCCAGTCAAAATACAGCTCCAGTGCTCAAAACAGTTATTCACTGAAGCTACTTATATGTCAAGTTATTCATAGATCAGAACACAAATTCACCCATGTGACTATGGTTAACAACAGTTATACTGAAATAGCAAGTTATCCCTCATTCACGTGTATTCAATTTTTTAATGCTTGGGTTTAGATTCTTTGTTTGGGTTTCTTATGTACAAAAATTCCAAGAAGCATCATCATTTTTGCCTTGTCTTCACAAAACTGCAGAATTTATATCTACAAAACAATGTAGCATAAAGCCAGCTTTACTATGTTGATATTAAGAATTTATTAAAGGTCACAAAATGAATTAGATCTCACTGGCAAGGGACTATACAAAAGCAGCAGGAGGAATCAGTCCCCACCTCACAGCTTTTCCTTGCTGTTGCACGGTTTACAGTTACCAGGTTATGAAGGCCCAGTTTTCAGACCCAGTCAGCATGGGTTTATGAAGGGCAGGTCCTGTTTAACAAACCTGATCTCCTTCTATGACTGGGTGATCCACCTGTTGGATGAAGGAAAGGCTGTGGATGCTGTCTATCTTGACTTTAGCAAGAGATTTGACACTGTTGCCCACAGCATTCTCCTAGAGAAATTGACTGCCTTTGGCTTGGATGGGCATGCGCTTTGCTGGGTAAAAAACTGGTCAGATGGCTGAGTCCAAAGAGTCGTGCTCAATGGAGTTAAATCCAATTGGCGGCCAGTCTCAAGTGGTGTCCCCCAGGGCTCAGTACTGGGCCCAGTCCTGTTCAACATTTTCAGGGTGAGGGGACAGAGTGCACCCTTAGTAAGTTT